GCATAATATAACAGTAATAACTAATAACTAATAATAATGATGATATTAATAGTATAACATAAATAAAACAAATAAAACATTACATAATAATAGTAAATAAGGTAAAATCGAATTTCAATAAGTAATAAAGTAACACAAATAAAAATAAATAAAAAATAAGATATGAATGTTTAATGTAATAGGTATGGTAATATTGTTGAGTGGTTCAGCGTGTTATTGGTGGATTTAAATTGTTTTGGCCCAAATGCGGGTCTYGTTAATTCCTCGGCTTGTGTCTTTTTGGATGTCTTCTTGGGTGCAGGTTTGGGAGCAAGCTGCAGTGCATGCGATGATGTGTATACAGGCCTGGTCTGTTCTTCTCCGCACATGCACAAGGTGTCAGCGCTATCTAGCAATCTCCATTTTATTAGATTTTCTTTCGTTCGTCCTATTCATGTCCTGATTCCTGAGATCTAACCTGAGTGCTCGCCAAACCGGCCATGTTTCATTATGAACAGGTTCGAGTGACTCGTTCGGCACTCAGCTGATGGTAGGTACTGCTTTTATCATTTCTCCGTCTGGTCGTCCTTCCTGCTTCGGGATGTGTTGACGAGATGGTTTTTGTATAGTTCATAAAACTCTCCCTGGACTCGAGACGAARGAGTCGTGGAGTTATACCGTATATAGGATGTCGTGGATCTGATGTTATTTCCGTTTTTTCTCAGTTGCGTGGACCTTCTTATTGGTGGAGAAACTACACCCGAAAATATGTATAGTTGTTCAACCAGTGTATTTTTTAGGCAGCCGGTTATGAGTCGACATTTTTAGTATATGATTACCTACCCCATACTGGACTAGCATATTTCCCGCTGAAAAACATAAGGCTAATGCCGTAGTTGTTAATATGTGAGGTTAGAGTATTATAGTATAACAGTCCCGTGAAGAGCCACCGAGCTTCCGTAATATGTCAATTTGGACATTATCAATAACTATTTTAAAATGAGGTATTTAATATTTTACCCGGCCACCCCCCTTTCGCGACAATAAAAATTATTACACGCATAATTTACATTCAGTATTGTTGATCTGCGTGACTACACTTTATAAACTATGAGAAACAGACAACACAATATTATACTGCTTTTTTTTTATTAATAATTCATTATTAAATTATTATTATTTATCGTGAAAGTTACCTATTAATAAAAAAWAATAAAATAAAAAATAATCCAAGTTTATTGTTAATACATTAGTTATGTCGACTTAAAGTGTAGAATATGTAATACGAAAACGCAAAATATAAATTTAAATTATGGTTTATTTACATTTTAAATGATAAAAAATGTTGATACCTATCCTGTTAGACAATCSAAAATTATACACAAATATACATTTAATCCATGCCCTACTTATRAAAAATCTTGTCTAGAAAATAACTATATGTATAAAAAAATGAATGTATACACTAAATACTAATACTATAATATAATAATTTATGTAAACAATTTAAATAAAAGTTTTCTTTTTCTTCCTAAATCTTAATAAATCATTATAAGCTAAATG